AAAATAAAAGGAGACTAAAAATTTTGGAATCCATTCTTTAATGTTCAAAAAGCTCTTTATTGTTCTCATACTGCCTGTGCTGCAGCACCTCTTTTCACCCTCTGTCTGAAACCAGAGCCCAGTCTGCTCTGATTGGTTAGCTGGCCGGCTCTGTTGTGATTGGTCAACCGCTTAAAGATGTCCCGCCCCTTAGCCTATTACGTACAATGTGTTGAGCACCAGCCAATAGGAGCGCAAGTGTTACATAGTGATGTCTATTATGTTACAGAAGTAAACGAAGGAGTCCAATGGAGGTGTTTTCAGACAGGGGGGGGATTTTAGCCTTTGCAGACCATTGACATGCACAAAAACCTTTATAACACACTACAGGAAAGCATAAAAGGGCCTCTTTAAGATCTCAGACCTGGTTTAATTGACTTTAGAAGCATGTGACGGACTGTCTGATGATTTTTTAGGGAAAGTGTTTCATTGCACGCCTGCAGTCCAACATCAGGAGCCAGATTGCAGTTCTGTGTAATGCCAATAGATTTCTTTCTCCATCTATTACAATCTGCTTGTAACTGCCGTCTGGAGGCAATACTGAATTGTAATTTCTGCTTGCAGAACAGAATTGGAGAAAGTATTGAATATTTAAACAATTAAACCACAAGGTAAATCTTAAGTGACAGCACTGAAGCACTGAAATGGCTAAACGCTGGACTTAAACACGGTGGTTTTAATCTGAGGTTTGAAACGACACCAGAGGGTCCCGGAGTGGGAGCGCTGCCAGGCTCTTAGGCACTAAGCCTATTGAGCCTGTATTAAAAAGTCATCTCATGGCAGATGTGCAATATGGTTATATGATTTTCAGCTATATATCTGGATCACGAAAATGAAGAGAAAAGTATTTCCTTAGCTTGCAATCATTCCCTCGGGTTTTGACATGAAGGCTTTTCAAATGAGACTTTAACAGCTTTAATTGATCATTTAAAAACACTCGTCGACTAATAGTGGAAACATTTGGATCCCCACCAAAAAATGAGAAAAACTCATTATGCTTTTCAGATCTCCCGCTGATAACTGACATAACAATGATTGTAATGTTGGGAATGTTGTTAAACGGTGATGTGTTCCTGTGTCAGGTGGGCGAAGGGTGGCGTGCTGCTGGATGGAGCGAGGGAGACTGTGTTTGTCACCACGGCTGATCACTCCTTCTTCACCGAGCCCGTGTCCTGCCAGGTCTTCAACGTGGTGGGAAGCACCAACGTCAGCATCCTGGTGGACGTGCACTGTGAGTAGAGCAAACACTCCAGAGCTGAGTGGGACTCTGCTGACATTTATATGCTCTAGTAACTATATTAGTCCGTGTTTGTTTGAAGAGCCATGCTTTTATTTGTTGTTACTTGTTTTCATATATTGTGCAGAATCAATTTGCAAAAGATTGTTGCTGTGTAATGATTATGAGAATATAAGAAGTACTTTATTGAGACTAGAAATAAACATTCCAAAATGTAAACATCTCAATAGAAATAAAATAGCATTAGGAACAAAAAGTTGAAAATATACATGTCGAATTACAATTCCTCGGTCATTGCCTCTCGGTTAGCTAATGGCATTTGTTGTGAAAGACACATGTCAAATAGTGAACGTGCATTAAATAAAACAAGCCCTAATTACAGAAAAGAAGTAGTAGAGCTGTCCTTTGTTGCATTATCCCCATGTCTCTCCTTATTCTCTGTGTTTCTTCAGCTGTTTACTACACGGTTACTAACAAACACTTATAAGAGAGTGATACATATTGTTCATTTTTAATATAATAGGTATCAAAAGCAGTTAAGTGTGTGACCATACTTTTAAATATGTTCAAATAACCTTAAGCGTGCTTTTTCAAATGTTTCTATATATCGCTGTTTATACAGTAGAGCTGTTCCTGTTTTAATGTATGTTATGTTTCTTTTGTTGCTGTAATTAAACCTTTTACCGACACTGCAGTTGATGTACTGAAATACTAATAATGTGTGATGTCGCTGTACATTTAAACTGTTAAAATAAATAAGTGATTTGTTAAATATACACAGGAAAAATAAAGAAACAATAATTACGCTTATGCTGTACAACGAGAACAAATGTACCGCACTAAAGCATGCTTGCTTTGTGATAAGAGGTTTTATTTTACTGCCAGTTACATGAAAGGTTTCCCCAATGAGAGTTTAAAGAAGATCTACTCCAACACATTTTGGACAATACAGTAAAAATACATTATTTCTTAATAATATTTAGCATATTCTGGTTTTCAGGTACTTATTTATCATCAGAATACATTTATTATTAGTCCCACAGAGGGGACATTACATTGTTACAGCAGAAGAGAGCCAAAGACAGCTTAATGTTACCGAAGAAGCATGCATAAAAACATATTAAAGATACAAAAATAATAATACAAATGACAAAATACACATCCTGTAACAGTTCTGAGGATTTAGCAGCCAGGTATATATTGCAGTTATTAACGGCATACATATATATCAAGTGTGTATTCCAAATTGTATCTGCATATATATATTTTTTTTTATATACATTTGCTTTTATATTCGGGATTGTTGGAAACTGTATTTCGATCTCTCTCTGTCTGTACACACAAACTGAAAGATTGACAATAAAGTTGACTTTGACTTCTGACATCCAGGGGTCTTATTTATCTTTTTACTCTCTTCCAGTTGGCCCCATACTGGTCATTGAGCCTCGGCCTGTGACAGTAGACGTGGACGCTGACGTCACTCTGAACTGCAAGTGGTCCGGAAACCCCCCCCTCACCCTCACCTGGACCAAGAAGGGCTCCAGCATGGTGAGGACAGACCATCAAACCTTCCCCCAAACTTTGACCTATTAGCCTGCATGATTCATGCATGTATGATTTCATATTTTATTCCAATAACATGTTGAATATTTAAAAAGGAGTGCCACATATTATCGGAAATCCCACTCCTCACGAATTACAGACAGAAAACCCCAGCCTATATTAATGTCCACGAGCTAGACTCCATCAATGTTTTCTCAGTAGTAAAGCAGACGGTAGGAACTGAGACTCAGTCTTCATATCCTTAATCTTTAATTCATGCCTAACAAGTTAAGAAAAGCTCCATGAAAAAAACTAATGGAGCCTGCCGAGTAAATCAACATGTTTTATGAATTAAATATAGATCCCCCTCCTTTATTTGAAAAATCTTTCCCTATCCGCCGCCCTCTACATCACAAAGCTACTTTCCTGCTTCTAATCTCATGCTGTCTTAAACATTTGTGTGTGTGTGTGTGTGTGTGTGTGTGTGTGTGTGTGTGTGTGTGTGTGTGTGTGTGTGTGTGTGTGTGTGCGTGTGTAGAGAGAGAGAGTGTGTGTGTGTGTGTGTGTGTGTGTGTGTGTGTGTGTGTGTGTGTGTGTGTGTGTGTGTGTGTGTGTGTGTGTGTGTGTGTGTGTGCGTGTGCGCGTGTGTGTGTTCAGGTGCTCAGCAACAATAACCAGCTGTATTTGAAGTCAGTGAGCCAGGCCGATGCAGGCCAGTACGTCTGCAAGGCCATCGTTCCCCGTATTGGAGTCGGGGAGACGGAGGTTACACTCACCGTCAACGGTCAGTTACTATTCAACTACTACTGATATGAATAACAACTGTAATATAACCCACTGCAGTCAGCATGTCGTTGTGTCCCTGAGACAATTCACCCCAAGTTGCTCCTGTGGGGATTGCCCACAGTACTGAGTTTGTAAGTTGCTTAAAAGCGTCTAACAAGTATCATGTAATATAAGCAAAAATGACATTACTGGCTACTCTGTTTCTACGTCATTCTGCTACTCGCTGCTTAATTGTTTTGCACCACCCAACACTTGTAATATAACACTGTGCAATATACAGTATTTACTAGGGATGTCCCGATCACCTCTTTTTGCTCCCGATCCGATTCCGATCATTTGATTTTGACAATTTGCCGATACCGATTTTTCNCAATCAATCAATCAATCAATCAATCAATGTTTATTGATATAGCCCAATATCGCAAATGTTTCATTTGTCTCAGTGGACTTCACAGTTTGTACAGAATATCAGTAGATATTCTGTACAAACTGTGAAGTCCACTGAGACAAATGAAACATTTGCGATATTGGGCTATATCAATAAACATTGATTGATTGATTGATTGATTGATTGATTGATTGATTGATATACAGTAGAACGATAAACCACATGACTGTCTTTGTTTCAGTGCAATGCATCATGAGGGATTAAATTACACAAGCTATATATTTAACAATAAAATGTTGTATTTCAAACCTTCAGTCCTTCACTAACACAGCACTGGTTCTACATCTACTCTTACTGTAGTTTTGATCCCATTAATTACAACACCGGCTTTGAAAAATACATCAATCGTTTTAATTGAAAATTCAAAACCGCAGTTTTCTTTATGAGCAATCATTCCTTATTTCTTAGAGGACACAATAGAAACCCCTTAAAACACAAAAGGGTATCAGGTTTTCCTTATGTTGAAGAAAATCAACTGGCTCAACCGCTTCAGGATAAAAATGAGTGGCTCCAAACAGGATGCTAAATCAATGCAACAGCGATAAAAAAATCTGGAACCCGCCCTGGTTTGACGATGGGGGAAAATAGTAGCTATAAATTCCTAAACACAGCACGTAACTTCAAGTTGACAGGTTCTGGGCAGGTCATTTAAATTATAGCGTGATTTCTTTATGTGCCGACACAAAATCAGCCCCACCTGCCCCTTTAGTGACAAAACGGGAAACATACGGTGGACGTTGAGGGCAACAGTAGCTCGTTTTCCCATGGGAACCGCAGGGTTGCTGGCGACACAGGTGAAGTTGCGACCACTGTCAGTGTCGGCCGGGACGATGGGCAGGTAGCTCCTGGTCGTCACCCTCTTCCTGTCAGGTAACACTTCCTGTTGGGGCGAAGACATAGAGAAGGAGAGGATGAACGTGGGTAGAATTTTGGGAGGGAGAAACAGAAAAAGATCAAAGCAGAGGAGGAGGACGAGCACAGTGGATGTGGAAGGACGAGAAGGACATAAAAAGGAGGGAACGGGAAATGTCATGGGAGACATAAGAGAGAGGAAGGGGAGGAGACAATGAGAGGGACACAGGATGGTTATTAATGGAGCCAAGACTTAGCATAACATGGAAATAGAAAAGGCAATCTGTAATAAACAACATTTTCAGACATGATGCAGGAAAGGAAACTGAAAAGGGGCAAAGGAGAAATACACATCCGTGTTCTGGTGCTTCATCGTCATCATGTTTAATATCGGTGCAGGGAAATCTAGAAAATGTTCTTCTAATTATCGCAAGCAATTCAGTTTTATGAGGACCCTCGACCTTGCTATCGAAATGAGAGATGAATACTTATGTGAAAAGTTGGTTAATCGTACAGATAGGGGAAGCAATTTCAAGACGATATCTTGAGCTCTGGGAATTTGAAGTGTGTTCATTTGATAGATTAAAGGACTTCCTTGTTTTTTGGAATCTATAATTAACTCTCTTTTTTGCGGCTATAAGACACACTTTATAACTCTTATCACTTCAGTCTCCCTGGATTCTGTGGAGTCTATTTTTATATAACATTAAAAGACTGATTCTTATTATTACATTATACGCTTATTGTGCTCATGAGATTCCTATGACTATAGAATAAATAGACACAATCACTAATCCCAGGTTCTGATGGGTTAGATACCAACGAGGGGAATAGTCAGAAGAAAGTTGAGCTTGCAAAATTGAAAGTAGCAAGGTCGAGTGCAGAGGCTGAGAGAACACAAAGAGGTAGTCAGAACAGCACATCGCACCGGCCTTCACTTTGTATGGGAGCCGCGCTCCCCCGCAAAGCTAGGAAGCACCATTATGGTTTCCCGCTATATCTGAAGAAACGTTAGAGAAAACAAATTACGTATGATGGTGCCAGAGTAGGGATGGACTTCCACAGACTGGCTGAATGCTGATTGGAGGATCGTGTTGCCAAGAGACTCTGAGTCTGCGCACCAACCAAAGAGAACCAAGTCTAAACCGCGGTATCTCTTCAGCTAGTCTTGACCAATCATAAATGTACGGGCAACGCCCTGTGTAATAAAATGTTTTGTCACGCGAGGTTCGAGGCTCTTGACGGATTTGGTGGTTACAGATTACAGCTTTGCTTCCTGTGATTCCCAAAGATGTGATGAGTCCTTGGCCAAGAGAATATATATTTTGCTCTCTTTACAATAAATCGTTAAACTTAGAAGTTGTCTTTCTTTTCTGGAATTCTGAACCCAGCAATTCTTGATGTGGGATGCTTTGCAACACAGCTACAAAATCTGTCAAGAAAGTGTTCACAGCCTTCTCTGTGGTGTAAAAGCGTGGTCAGTAACACGATAGCATAAGAGCAGCATGTAATATGTATGAGCGTGTGGGGGGCATAAAACGGGAAGCAAGAGATGCAAAAACATCTGTGTTTGAGCCTCTGAGTCAGTGTTTGCTGCTGCCTCCATGTGCATATGAGAGCATGAGTGTATGTGCGTGAGTGTATGTGTGTGTGTGTGTGTGTGTGTGTGTGTGTGTGTGTGTGTGTGTGTGTGTGTGTGTGTGTGTGTGTGTGTGTGTGTGTGTGTGTGTGTGTGTGTGTGTG